CCCCCCCCCCCATAATTACTACTAAATGACACTTGGACCTGCTTACAAAGTGAAATACATTTGCCTTTTGAATCAGTGAAATATAACATATTTGCAAACATTCAATGTAATACATTAGTATAAAAGGCATCTCCTAACAATTTATTCAATAAAAATCTTTTAAAAGTTTTTCTGGGAAAAGGAAAACACAAACTGTTACTCACAATATTCAATATTCTTGAAAATTAGTATCTTGAAGCTTCCTTAATATCTAACAACATCCCTCCTGATACTTTCTACAAATGATGAAAAAGTATAGTTTCACCAAGACTCCTTAGGATGTCACCAGTGTTCACTTAGAACTATATCTAAAGTGAGATCACTTCTAATATAAAATCTGATGGAGTACCGTTTATTTTTCTCCAAATCCCTAATTTCCTACAACTATTGCTATAACATCTTTTCTCATTCTGGCCTTTTCCTATAAATGTATAGCAAAGTTAATTACAGTTCTGAACTATGTCACATCTTGGCATTTGGCAGAATTCTAAAAAAGACGTCCAATCTGTGCTAAAGGCAAAAAAGAATACAATCATCTTTTATTCACAAGGTTCAGCCACAGCTGTCGGCCTTAAAGAAAATGTTATTCCAGATTAATGAGATTTTTCAATCTGCTACACGAAACATAGTAAACTAAAAAAAAAAATGTATGCCCTACCCGGTATGGCTCGGTGGTTAGAGCATCGACCTCAGACTGAAGGGTCTCAGGTTCGATTTCCGGTCAAGGGCACGTACCTCGGTTGCAGGCTTGATCCCTGGCCCCAGTCAGGGTGCATGCGGGAGGCAACCAATGGATGTATCTCTCTCACATCGATGTTTCTCTCTCTGTGTCTCTCCCCTTCCCTTCTACTCTCTAAAAAAATCAGTGGAAAAAATATTCTCGGGTGAGGATTAACAACAACAAAACTTATAACTGCTATTTATGTAAGCTCCATAATTAATGCATGCATTCAAAATCAAACATGTACGCTCATAATTTAAATGTCTTAACACTAAGTGCCATCTCTGTAGCAGTATCAGTACTCACGGAATACAGTAGAGTAACACTGAAGTACTGTATAATGCTGTACAAAGCCATAAATTTAAACACACAAAAGGAAGTCATTAAAGCAGCACGGCCTTCCCTGTGAAAACAAATGTTGGCATGTGAATAAAGGCATTTTAAACCCCTCCTCCAAACCACAGTTATATCTTGACAGGCGAACATAAACATTCAACAGCTACAATAAAGCACATTTCTACTCAAAGAATTAAGCCAAAGTCGAATTAGAAAAGATGAGGCGAAACAATCAATCTGATGCTAATTAGTAACAGATTAAATATACCAAAAAAACCCATGAAAACAAATTCATATTACTTTCCATGATAATTTTTTTCTGTATTTATTATTATTAAAGCAAGCTACAAAGAGACAACAGGAAATTTTTCCATATGTCCCACCTGATAAGGTTTGGCACACAGGAAATACTAGGAGTTTTGGAGGTAAAGGGCGATGCCACTGAAGCCTCAAGCTCTGACAAGGAAATGCCTCCGTGTGCCCTCTTCAGAGCCTAAAAGTTTGAAAAAGGAAACTGGTTACATTTTGTGAATGTGACTCAGGCTAGAGAAAGAACTTTAAATCACAAAAATTATACTTACACCACAATCATTTGCACCATCACCACACATCCCAACAAAGTAACTAGGAAACAAAAATTATGTTAAGATTTTGATTAATTTCTTAAAATACACAATATTTAACTTAAGATTTCAGTAATGCTGTATTACGGAGAGCTAAGAAACCAAGATTCCCCCAGTGAAACAAATGAATCTTTTTATTACAATGACCACAGGCATGTTGCTTTGTACCAGCCGGAATGTCAAATGACCTAGGTATTGTCCTATTTCTGTCACAAGATGGACAAATCAGTTTATCATTTTAACATCTCAATTTCCTAATATTTAGAGCAAAGTACATGGGCTTGTATAATCTTTAGCACACTTTTAAGGCTATCAGTAAAGAGTTCTCCCTTAAAAGTTTGAAACGTAATTATTTACTAAAACTAGAAAGTCATTTCTATCCAAGATGAATGAACTCTACCTCATAGATATTACCTGGAAAAGAAACTGTGGATATTGTACTTTAGCTGCAAGAACCTACATGAGCAAATAGACATTTAAAGTTATCGCCTACCTATCATACAGGGGACAATATATACATGAAATACTGGTTATTTTCTGGGTTTGAAAATGAACTACAATTCATTAAAACACACACCATCAATACTTACTCTACATTTTGCAATGCTTCTACTAATTGTGTCTTCTGATCGGGTGCCATACGAGCAAACACAGTGCCATGCAACATCAACTGGAAAAAATACGAGTTTCTTTAAAATACTGTTTATAATATATTCATGTGAACACATACATAAACAGAAATCACTAACCTTGGGAACAAGGTCTTGAAAATGCTCCAGTATCACTGAAAATGATTTTCCATTCATTGCAAAATGATAACGAGACACCTGAAGATCTTCTAAGCTATCATGGGCCAATTTAATTGGAATAGCCTGTGTATACAACATCCAGAACAATAGTTAGGCACCCAAATCAAGTATCACTACCCTATTTTAAATATATTTGATCCAAAACTAAGTTCTTTCATTTGACATTTTACACAAGACACTGAAAGTTTAACATTTACTGAAAGTAAAGGGAAATTCAATTTTAAGGGGCTCTATGTTTATTTAAAAAAAAAAAACTTAAGGGAGGTTAAATGTCAGCTTCAATTTGAAATGATCCATGAATTGAGTATTATGGCCCACCTGCATCATTTATAACTACTTTTAAAATAGGATAAATCATTAAGATTCTTGTATTTTAAAACTGTACTTCTCATCTTTGTCTAAGTACCAAAATTTAAAACATTGAGATTCCTGGGCCTAATGAATCAGAAGCCCAGGCTTCTGTTTTTGTTTACTTTCTGTTTTGTTAAATCTTAATGCACCACATTTTATTTTTTTAGACTAAATTAAAACAAGCAAGTTTCAAATGGGAAAAATTCATCTTGACATTACCTCTGAGTCCACTGCTGATGAATTACTGCACTGTGTTAGGGTGTCAGCATAATGCCAATTTATCTTGGCAACTTTCCCATCCTTTGGAGGTAATGCTTCAGCAATAATAACTTTATCCTGAGGTAGTATCATTCCACAGTCTCTGGCCACAGAGAGAGCAGTCAACATGTTGTCACCTAATTTTCAAAATGTTGAAAATACATTAAAATTAAAATAAAAACATAAATGGATTAACCAACAAGGACTTATTGAGAATCTACTATAGTAGTCCCCATGACTGGGCTGGGCAAAATGAAGATAATGTATGATCTTTACTTTTGGAATTTAAAAATAATAAAATCAGGGCACACTTACCAAAGGAAGCCTCAAATAATTCAAGCATATATATACTAAATAGAACATTCTCACCCACAATTTTTAAAATCAAATACATTCTCAATCTTTTTTATTTTAATCCTCACCTGAGGATGTGCTTTTAACTGATTTGAGGTGGGGGAGAGAGAGAGAGAGACAGGCTGCCTCCCGTACGCGCCCCAATGGAGGATCGAACCAGCAACGTTTTGATGCACAGGACAACCCTCCAACCAACTGAGCCACCCAGCCAGAGCCATTGTCAATCTTTTTGAGTCATACACTAGTACTACCCACTCAACACTTGCCACAGTGCTACATACAGAGTAGGTGCTCAATAAATATTTGTTGAAATAACCTAGGAGTGACTGGTGATCTGTTTCAGAAAACTAGTATCAGAGGAAAAAAGAATGAGCTACAAAAGCAAGATTACAAAAAACTAAAAGATAAGCAAGGTAATAAGAATACAATTTGTATAAGATGTAAAGAGAGGCAACACAGACAACTTCTCAGCCATGAGAAAGAAAGAAGAGCAGCACTATAAGGACAGGTTCAAGAGAAGAAAATTAGCTTACAGGAGAAGCCGGCAAAGGTCTTGGGAGCCCACTGCTATCAGAACTGAAGGGCAATATTATTTTCCCCCCAACTCCCACACACTATTTCCCAGGGTGTCTTCTGGTGACTAGACAGACCCCTTAAGACAACAAAACCATAGTCAGTCATGGAAGAGAAAGAGGGGGAAGAGACACAGAGATGAAAAGTGCTTAGAAGCGGTCACTAAAACCAAGAATTGCTAGGATGCTAATCAATTTAGTTACTTGAGATGTATATTAATAATTATGCTATTAGATGAATCTCAGAGTCTAAAACATAAAAATGTGCTCAGGCCTTTACCATATAAGTCTTACTGAACACATAAATGCTATAAAGTGAATATCTTAATTTTGATTACTTACTAAGAAAAAAATCACTTAGAGCTGCCACAATTTCAAACAGCTAAGGAATGGCAATTATCTAATATTATCAACAGTACAATAACACCAGGAGAATCATTCCGCTATAGTAAAAAAGAAAAAAACAAACCAAAAAATGGCTACTTCCACTTTTATGCTGATTCAAGAGATTATAATAAATGTACTATCTTATACATAAAAATGTAATTCTAACAATATCTATTAATCATTTTCTGTGCATGTGGCAGAGTTCTGAAAATTGTAGAAAACCCCAAAATAACTAAAGATACTCTTAACCCTCAAGAATCTCATATTCTAGTAGAGAAAACAAATCTACAAATAACTAACACAAGGCAAGGTACAATAAGTGCTATAAGAAATATCCGATTAAAGAGAAATAAAAAGGAGCAGAGTTTAAATTTTTATACTGTGCCCTCTACTACCTTACTATACTTTCTAGAAACAGAATTTGTTAGACTTCAAAAGAATATTGCCAAATTCGCTTATACCTTGATAAATATTCAGAGCTAAAACAGGGCAACGTAGGATGGAGCCATTATATAATACGCTTTTATAACCAACTGATCATTCGTCAGTATTATATATCTTGAACTCTAAGGGTCACACCCAATTTTTTCTGTGTCACTTTATAAAGTCTAACCTGTGACCATGACAGTGCGAATGTTGGCTTTATGCAAATCTTCAAGTACTGCAGGAGTTTCTTGCTTTAATTTGTTTTGCATTATAATCAATCCCATAAAATCCATGTTGTTTTCAATGGCATCTCTGTAGAAAAAGAATTTTAAATACATAATGGTTTAGTCAAGCGAACAGGCTATTCTCTCTTTATATTGATAAAGCAATTTTAAATATCTAAAAATTAGAAATTTTATATGCAGAATAAATCACATATGTGTGTGTTTATGAGTTTAGTATAACAAAAAAAATTTAAACCTGGAAAAACAATTCCCAAGAAATACATTTTAAAATTAAATTTTACCTTTTGAAATGCAGGAACAGAAGGAACATTTGGAGATGCATAGTTGGCTCTTCATATCCCTAAGGGGGTCCTGGAACCAATCCCTATCAAGGGACCTTTGTAATACACTAAGTACTTGTACTACTACGGAATGTTCACCATGTACCCTATTCACCAAATGAGCAAGCATAGATAAATCTACTTTTTACTGTCCCCCATACAACATACACTAACTTAAATGTTAAGAGAAAAGGAAAAAAACTGTCCCATAAGCACATTTGATACAATTATACTAGATTCATTATCAAGTTTTTGATGAATTTTATAAAACTCTTGATCAAATTCTTGATCCTTGAAGTGTGATCTAAGAAGCACTAGAAATCCAACCAGGAGATCTACTTGGAAGCCAGAGATAAGATTTTAGAATATTCATATTCAATACTTAAAGACGCTATTCCTTCAAATAGTGGAGTATCTACAATGCACCAACTACTATGGTAATCACTGGGAAGTCAAAGATGAAAAGGCATGATCTCTACTCTTCAATATGCTTTTGTGGGGAAACAGACATGTAGGCAAAGAGATGCATACAAAAATAATATGCACTTCAGCACTATAATGGACATGAAATCTGTTCAGTGATAGTTGTGTTAAGAAATCTCAAGCTACCAAAATTAAATCACAGAAAAAGGAAGGGGGCTTGAGATTAGGGACCAAAATTTCACACTTGCAATAACTGAGTGGTTTTTCTACACAAAATTTGACAATAAAGGTCCTTTACATAGCTATAAACCTAAACATTTTTGAAATATAATTTAGAACAATGGATGTTAAAGGCATTAAAGAATAGTTAGAAAACTTAATACAAATGATATTGTTGGTGTTAACAGGAGAAACAAGCCTTGAAACCTGAAAATGCATTTCAAAGTGCAAAGCTCAACAAATGTGAAACTACTGGGTCAAGAACGCTGCAGCTATTTTCCTATGAGGTACTAGCAGTTTCTGGATGCAGCTGGTTTCCTAACTTTCCTATGATATAGGTCATGGAAACTATGCCCTCTAATTAATGAATAGCACAAAATTTCATTCGAGATATAAAGGTTCAAGCTGTTAAGAGAAATGCCAAAACCTATTCCCAGAAGGTAGAACGGACACACATGGGTCTCAGTTGAAGGATGAAGATGAAGGGGAGCCCGTGGGCAGGGGGGTGATAGAGAGGAACAGGGTATTCTGGGCAGAAGGAATAGCCTACCCAAGGGCATGGAAGGATGTCTGACTACAACAGGCTCAAGAACTACAGGCAATTCAACAGTTAGTCTTTAGGAAGGAAATGGCAAAAGGTGAAGCTGTAGAGAAAAAAATAGCCTAATATGCCCCTCACAGGAATCAGGATATAACATTTTAAATTTTGGCTCCCAATCATGTATACACATCAGGTCATTTGGTTTTCACTCTTTTTGAAAACATTCATGCTTAGACCACACCCTTCAAATATTGTTTTATAATTAGAATTCCTAATTAGTTTTTTCCTTTTAGTTAATCTGGCTATCTACTCTACTCCTTTAGTTCTCACTCAGAAAACATGATTGCACTATAAACACTTTTTAATTAATGTGCCTGAAATAATTAAGAGAAGTTCTAATAGTCCATAATTTAACTACTGCTCTATGGTGAGTATTATATTATTTGCACTATTTAAACATGAACTTATGCACATGAAGAAATATTTCTTCAGGCCGAATTCCTAGAACTACACTTGCTAGGTCAAATTACATAAGCGAATTATAATGTTCTCTAGAATTTACAATAGTGTAGTAGCAATATGTTGTCAGAATTTTCTCAAACCTTCCCTAATACTTGCTATTACCAATCTTTCCAATTTTGCCAACCTTAGGAGAAATGTGATGTCACAGTGTGGTTTTATTTTGTAGTTCCCCAAGAACTGAAGTGTCTTATCATTTTCATGTGTTCACTGGCCATTTGTATGTCTTTTTTCTGATATTTATCTGTTTGCATCATTTGTCCATTTAAAAACTATGTTTTGTTTTCTTTCCTGATGCATCTCTCTGATTATGAACCCGTCCAGGTGATAGGAAGCCATTTATAAGAATTTCAGGTAGAAGACTGGTCTTACATCTGAATGTTAAAAAGTTCTCTCTGGAGGCAGTGTGGAACACAGACTAAAGAAAGAAAGACTAGAAAAAAGAGCTGATTCCCTGAATTAGAGACAATGGCTGTGGAGATGGAGGAAAAGGCTATTTCAAAGGCAGAATCAGGAGGAGAGCTAATGAATAAATATTCATTTCTGCTTGCTTACAAATGCCAGGTATACCATGACAGATTCCTAAAAAAAATGTTATCCTCAAAGGGTAGGTCTATATCCGTTAGTGAAAGTGACAATCCTTGAAGGTAAAAGCCGTATCTATACATGGATGTAAACGTGATGCTGATAATACCATTAGAACTTTGGGGTAGAGGGTGATTGCATACTGTGATTCATGATACTCTGACTAAATAAGTACTGGTTCCAACCACTAGGCAAAAGCAAGTTGATAATTTGGAAAAATAAACTTCTGTAGAATTAGGTTTACTAAAACATAATTACGTTCCTAGAAAATGCATGACACACGGCAGGGACTCAATAAGTATTTAACAAATAAATTGAAAATAGTTCCAAAGAGCTGTACTTTTATCTCAATCAACTAAAACAAGTATTGCATTATGTATATTTGCACACATTCAATAAATATTTAATAAATACCCAACTACATACAAATTATTATATGTGACATATAAACATAAATAACGTATCAAAAAACTGTAGAAAAATCATTTATCAGCCTTACCTGCTAATATTCTGTACTTTATGCCATGTCAGTTTTGACTCCAATTTTCTGTGCGCAAGAGCAATTACACGGAAGCCCTGTTTAGTGTAATCTTCTAAAACATTTTCAAAATCAACAGGAACTTTAAAAGGAAAAAAGAAATATTATTGTTAGAATTGTTAATATAAGCCTATACAAATATTAGAATTTTATTCAAAGCCCAGTTGGCTCCTTACCTGTTTCAGGTTTACAAAGACTGGCAATGACCTCAGGTGCTCCTTTCATGTAGGCATCCATTTTTTTATCCCCTAGCACCCTTGCAACCACACTCATACGTTGCAAAGCAGAAGAAAATGGGAATTGGCGAACAATCCCTATCTCATAAATAGCCTGTATAAGGTCAAAAGAGGCACAAGGCACTTACTCTTCTTTAAGAATTAAAACAAATATACTCAGGTAACAAGTAAACATTCTTTACTTACTGGAAGTTCAAACAGCTCCTAAAAACAAAACAAAAAGAATAAAGAAATAGTACTGATTAAGTCCATTAACATACTCAAGATAAAAAACAACTATGCATCCACAAAACATTATTTAGAAAACAGCAAGAAACTTTTATTATTTCAAGTCATGTTTCAAGATTGCTTCTCCTCTGCCTCTCATTTTTAAAAAGTATATTCTTGAATATTTTCAAATATTCTGCTATCCTAAAAATATATTAAGTACTAAAATAAACTACAGGAAACATATTTTAAAATTCACCTAAAAATAAAGCCTCTCACATATTCTTTTTATTAAACTCTAGGAATATAGTTGCAATTTAAAGAGATTAATCACCATGCCATCATATTATCTAAATCACAGGGCACTAAGCTGCTTCAGTAAATGGGAAGAAAAAGTAACGCTGAGAAATAAACCTCAGTGTTTTACAAAAAATACCTGCAATGCCCCAAGTGTAGTTGCTAATAAACACAGTTAAAATAGTCACATCTGCCTGAGAGTTAAAGGATATGTGATTTCATCTTCTAGTTATATTTCAAAGTGAGGCTTGAATGTGGGCATCAACAGTATAATCCAGCTTAAAGTGATTTCATACCATTTCCTGGTCTCCTGCAGGTGTAGGTTCAGGAAGCAGTTGCTTCGGAGGACGAACCACAGTTGGCATAATTCGATTATGAAGTGCTGTTTCCTCTTCAGTTGCTTCTTCCAGAATCTGAAAGGAAAATATTCAACATACTACTTCATAAAATTTAATTCACCGGTTCCATTTTTAAATGAAACACTATAGCTATTTTCAGTGACGTTAAAAAAAAATTAGTGTCCAAAAAATAAATGAGCACTACTAGATTATTAACATAAATAAAACCAAATGTAAACACAGCTGGTTAAAGTCCTAGCAACTCATGGGAGAGAGGAGGAAGAGGTTAGAAGCAGAATAAAGAAATAGAAAAAACTTCTCTAATTTTGCTTCTATCACCCAGGGCTTCCTTTCTGCTAAAAGGAATGTGTTCAAAACAATATGGAACTCAGACATGGTTAGCAGAACCAAAGGATTGGGAACACACTGAGGTCCAAAGATTGGAGCTTATAGTTTCTGTTTGAACTCTTCTAGTTGGGATACTAGTAACCTGACCCCTTAAAATTTATTTTAAATACACTTTTTTTTTTTTTGGTAAAAAATTCAAATAAGAACTTGTACTGAAAATACACATACATGAAAAACAAACTAATTTGACAACAACTGGATGAACCATGGAGGAAAATGACAGGGAAGGGAACTATGCCCGATTAGCCAATTTTATACCCTTCTCAGACGCCCTTGAACATCTCCGAAATTAGGAGGCCTCTCACAGGGAATCAATCACACCGAACAGCAATCGTGCTCAGTTATGTGAAAACATTCCACTGATCCTTTCTGGTAAGACCAAGCATCAAAGCATCCAAGTCAATAAAACATGCTATTACACAAATTTACTTATTTAACCCATTTTTAAAATTCTACAAACAAAAAAACACTAAAGTCTACAGAAAATCTATTCAGTTGGGGAGAAGTTTTAGAGAACACAAAAAATGAATCAGTCCTATTTTACTTTACTCTCTACAAATGAAGTGGGCCTCCTTTAAGAAATTAAATTAGATGGCAGAACATTTATCTACTCATTCATCTCCTTCCCTTTCAAAATATCAACAAAACACACATACACAAAATAAACCTGTAAAAGTAAACAAAAAGGAAAGCAGGGAGAGGAGATTTCCAGTAAGGAGACAAAAGGCAAAACCAAAATGTACTGATGAATAGAGCGATGAAGGAGACAGGAGCTCAGAATAAACACAAAAGGACATTCAGGAGAGGCGGGAGCATTTCTGATCAGCCAGAAAGCTGAGCTAAGCCAAAAACCAAAAACCAAAAACCAAAAACCAAGATCAGGGAGTAATTCCTAGAGATACAGACTGCTATCTGAGAAGAGGAAGGGCTCTAATGTGAGAGTAAACATTCCAGAGCAAAGCCCTGCCTGTGCAAGCACTTGGGGTATGTGAGGAATTCAACCTAACTCTGTTCCTCTGACACTGAGGACTGCCTGCTGATGAGAACCCACCCTTGACAGAACACACAAGCTCCCCCTAGTCAGCCTTCCTATTCAGGGGAAATGCTTTTCAAGAAAACAGTTTTACATACCAACAGGCAAGGATAAAAACCTTACTGCAACTACCCAGAGTTATCAAATCAGACCTTTATTCTTAAATATGAAAGTATTATTGTTATATCATGCAAACCAAAAGCATGAAGGAAAATTAAGGGTAAGAAAGAAAACAAAAAACAATAATGACCCAGAAAACATACATCATTCAGAAGCCAGACGGGAACTTCAAAAACAAAACTATTTTTGCATCTATAAAAGAAATGAATGCTGTGAAATGATTAACAACCAAAGAACATAAGCAAACACACAGAGAATAAAATTATCAATAGCTGCCCTGGATGGTGCGGCTCAGTTGAGTGTCACCTCATGCACCAAGAGGTCGTGGGTTTGATTCCCAGTCAGGGCACATGCCCAGGTTGCAGTCTCGATCCCCAGTACCGGGTGTGCAGGAGGCAGCCAATCGATGTTTCTCTCTCTCTCTCTAAAGTCAATAAAAACATATTTAAAAATTAAAATAAAAAAATTAAATTATCAATGGCAGAACATATAGAAGGAACAAACAAACACAAACCTCTGCGTGTGTGTAAGGACACAGGAAGGAGAACAGGGGGACAAAGAACACTGAAGATATATCACTACTCTATACTTTTTACCTGACCAACAAATTGTGATGCTGAAGATCATCTTACTGACTCAGGCTTACTGCCTCGAATTGCTGATAGCTGATTACTATTATACACATAAAGCAGGGGCCTGAGCAAGCCATCCTTTATTAAAGGCGTTTAAGTCAGTTAATATAACTAAAACAGACTTTTTTTTTTTTACACAATTAAAATGATCTCTCCAGTGATGCACCTTTAGAAATTACAGTTTCTTTCAAAACAATCAGCAGAAACAATCTTTCTGCAAGGTTAATTTTTACTCTATTTTCCTAAAGTTACTTATGCTTTAAAATATTAAACTTACCCATCCGATGGCTTCAAACATTTTCAAATCAAGTGGATCACCAGAAAGCACTCCTTCAATTTTTGTGAGTGAATGGCAAGTAGCCATACAAGCAACAAACTGAGACTTTACCAACATCTCATTGCAAACATTTTCTTCTGGCAAAAGAAAACTAAATAGAAAATGTACTGAATTAGATTCATGAATTCCAAGACTCAAAACAATATTCTAACAATATTCAGGTTTTGTCATTTACAAAAAATGTTTTTATTTCTGCCCTGGCCAGCGAGGCTTACTGGACAGAGTGTCACCCTGCACACCAGAGGGTCTTGGGTTTGATTCCCAGTCAAGGACACATATGTGGGCTGCAGGTTCGATCCCCACCCCGGTGGGTGCGTGCAGGAGGCAACCAATCGATGTGTCTCTCACATCGATGTTTTTCTCTCTCCCTCTCCCTTCCTTCCCCCTCCCTTCCACTCTCTCTGAAAATCAATGGAAAAAACATCCTTAGGTGAGGATTAAAAAAAAAAAAGTTTGCATTTCTTCATATTTTTACCTATAGTTTTAGGAATTCAAAAACATTTTCTCCCATGACTAAACATGACTAAAATACAGTATTATCTTAGATTTATCTAATATTTATCAGTATTATCTTATTATTATCTTAGATTCTGAATAACTAGGCCAGACATAACACTGTAGAAAACACTAAATACTAAATAATAATTAAGACTCCTGCCTATGGACATATGGTAGATTAGAATACATAAAGACTCTCTTACAAAAACATAAAATGAATGTGTAACACATAATCTTTTAAATGTAAAACTGAGCTCATATAAAACAAACAGAAATTTTCAAGTGCCAGAAATAGAGGGGAAGGAAAATCAGGAGTATGAACTTGAACAGATGCTGTGACTACTTGGGAAGATGGAGGAAGGGAGAGCCTTCTTAGGGAGCCGCCTAACGACTTGAGTTTTAATACCCACACAGGAACAGGAGACAAAGTCTGAGCTACAGACAAGGTGGGGACTTGAAACTAAGATAGCCAGTGCTCTTTAAGAGCTACATCCTTGAAAAAAACAGCACACTAGAAAAAAAATTTATGCACAGACCCAAAGGTATAACTAATAAGCTTCTCTCTCCCCATCCCCTAGCCCACCTCCCAAAGTTCAAGAAAATAATATCTGTAAATTTACTGTGCACTAGGCACTGTTCTAAAACTTTAAATATATTTGACTCATCTCATCCTCACACCATAGAAGGTGTTTCATTATCCCCATTTTAAAGATGATAAAACTGAAGCAGATTGGTTAAGTAACTTGCCAAGGTTACCCAGCACATAGGTGATACCAAGGATTCAACCAAAGGTCTGGTTTCAGGGCCTAAATTCCGAACCACTGCACTACTCGGGATGGGATTTGGATTTTACCATATATATTCTACTGAAAATTCCCAGGTTATGAAAGTAACATTAAAGTTTGTCTGGCACCATTGATACCACTCTTAGCCAAGCTCTTGGCCAAGCAAGGTCAAAGCTCTCAAGAGAAGAGCTCCCACAACACAGCCACAAAGCAGGGAGTCTCACAGGACAATCCTGCTAAGAATGAGTTCATAATTTAAAAATGCACCAGGAAACAATTCTCACTAGTCAACAGACACAAAAAATACAGAGTAAGAATCCCATAAATTTCAGATAACAGAACGGAAGTCTAAAAAAATGCAAAAAGGCATTTTAAATTAAAGACTTAGAAAAAGAACAAGACACCATGTGAGGAGAAAAGGAGAGCCAGATTCAGAAAGAACCAAATGAAGTTTCTTGTCCATTTTATGATTATGATTTCCAGATGAAGAGAAAATAAGAATAGGGGATAGGCCATAATGGAACAGAAAGTGACTGAAAATTTTCCAGAATTTATGAAAAGCATAAATCCTTGGAATCAAGAAGCAAAATGAGTCCTGCATAAATAAAAAGATGGTGAAACTGCAGAAATCAAACACAAAGAAATATTTTTAAAACAACAAAGGAGAAAAAACATTACTAAAGAGACTATGACTTCTCAACAGCAATAACAAAAGGAGTCAGCAGAAATAAAATAACATCTTCAAAGTTCTGAGAGAACACAACTGTCAACCTAAACATCTATACTGTTACAGCATCATTCAAGAGCAACAGTGAAACTAAGAATTACTAATGAATATAGTTACAGAAGATGGCAATTTAATCCACAGGAATGGGATATAAGAAGCAATAGTTAGCAAAGATATTTGTAAAACCTAGATAAATCTCAGCATGTAGATGGTAGAAAACCAAAATCATAATCTATGCAACAAATATATATATATATATATATATATATATATATGAGAAGGAAGGGAAATAATCAAAGTAAAAATATTCTATAGTCCGTGGGTTGTTTGGAGGAGTTTAAAAACAAATAAAGATACCCATGAACTTTAGACTCGATATGAATTATTAATAATTTAAGCATAAGTATTAAAGATTAGGATGCATAAATTCTGAGAAAAATATAAAATATATGAAAATGTGTATGAATATATCTGAAATCACAATAAATGTGAACATAATGGCATGGAAAGATTGAGAAGTAAAGACCTTGGGAAGTAAAAGATCAAGAACATACACAAAGCAAAATTAAGCAAAAGAAAGCTGGTGTGTAACTATATAAAAATGTCAGGTGAAATACAATTTAAGGCAAGATGCATTACTGGGGATAAGTAAGGTTGCAATGTGACAACCTATTTACCAAGAAGATGTAACAACTCTGAAATTGCATGAGTCAAACAATAGTCAATCAAACTCCCATAGACTTTTGAGAGAGAAAAATGACATGAACACAACTATAGCAGTAAAATGTGTAAGTATCAAAAGACAGCAAAAAACAAAGTAAAAAGGAGAGAGAGATTGGTGGAATATTTTTGCAATGCACAGTACTGAAAAAATTACCATCCAGAAAATACAAAGAACTTCTAACAAATGAATAAAATAAAGACTAACAACACAATAGAAAAAGTAGGCTATAAACTGACAATACACAGAAGAATGTGAAAATATGCCCAGCTTTGTAAGTAATGAAGAAAGTCCAAACAAAACCACAATAAAATATCATTTCACATATATCCATTTGGCAAAAATTACAAGTCTAACAATACCAAGTTTGGCAAGGATGTAGAGGAAAAGAATCTCTTACCCACTGAGGGAGAATGAGCTAGCACCACCATCACTCAGAGAGCGATGGGGCAATACCTACTTAGCCTGCAGCCATGCCTATGCTGTAGCCATATATATATATATGTAAGATGTCCCAGTGCTGACATTTTTAGGAAGCAAAGTTTACTGAAATTCAATTACATGCTCGCAAGGAGTCATGTATAAGAATGCTAACTGCAACACTGTTTGTGAAAGTTGAAGGTAAAAGGGAGGGAGAAAAACAAAACTGTCCTTTAGCAGAAGAACAGATACTATGGTTTAATCATATAATGAAATACGACACAACATCTAAGATTAATAAATTAGATCTATACATATCAACACTGATAAATCTTCAAAACAATGTTAAGCAGCAAAAAAGCAGCAAAAACACTTACAGGGTATTAATTGTGCATATTTTTTGATAGATATAAAAACATTCAGATAATAATAGAACACAACTGTAGAATGATGACTGCAGTCGGGAAAGGGGTAGATTAAAACCTTAGCAATATGTGTAATATTTTAAATCTTTTAAAAGATCTGAAGCAAATACAACCAAGTGTCAACTGTTTAATCTTCATGGTGGGTATACAAGCTGTCTGTTATATGTTTGAATGTTTCATATATTAAAATATTTATTAAAAATCAGCTAACAAATAATCAAGCCTAGCTAATATTTACCGTGTATTTTCCACTCGTTGAATCCCCCAAAGATCTAAACCATCTTCAGTAAGAGTTCCAGTCTAAAAAAAGTACATATACAAAACATGAATAATGCCTCCAAAAACAAACATCATGAAAAGCTATGCTACATATATATAATGGAGTACTATATAGCTGTAAACATACAAACAAACAAAGGAAACAGTAAGATTTCCATATACTGATAGAGAATAACTTCCAGGACAAACAGTTAAAGTGGGGAAAAGGGTGCAGAACACTCCTTATGGTACGGCATATGTGTACATCTGTATATTTATGTGCATATATTATTAAAAAGAAAATTTTAGGACATTTTTTGAGAAAAGCAGGGAAATTTGAATATGAACTGGATTTTAGATAATACTAAGGAATTGTTAATTTTGTTAAGTGTAGTAAGCAGTTATAACAGTATTGTGGTAATGTTTTTTAAAAACATCTAGAGATGCATACTGAGGGATATGGGTGAACTAATGCCTGATGCTGCCACCTTCAAAATGAGGGACTAAACGAAGACCAACAGAATGCTAATAACTGTTAAATCTGGGTAATGGGTACGTGAGGGTTTATTATATTTGATCCTTTTTGCACTTCTGTGTCTGCTTAAAAATTTTACTAGTAATATTTCCAAAAAAGAAAAGCATAAGTGAAATTTTCTAAACATTGAATATGAAATTTAGTCTTGGGATATAATCTTTTTTTTAACAAAATATTTGTTAAAAATTATTTTGTTATCTTTAGATGGTAAGCACACAATGCAATATATAGATGATGTATTACAGAACTGTACACTTGAAACTTATATAATATCTTATTAACCAATGTCAACCCAATAAATTTAATAAGAAGTAAAATAAAAATAAAATGCAAAAAAATATTGACTCCTATTTTTTCCTTTAATGATGAAGATGCATAAAAATCAAATTCTTGTATCAGTTACCCAAGTTTAATTCTCAAAATAAAACTTTCAGAAAAAATTTCAGTTAAGAAAAGGCGAGCCCTCTGTAAAAGGTAAAGTATATTTCACACAAGTACAAAATTTATTTTCATATCAAATAGAAAAATCAGTGACCATTATTTTGAAACATGTTCAATAAATCATAAAGCTAACACTGAACACATACTTAATAGCAAAAATTCCAGTAAATATATCTGTATGGAGCCTATTCTATTAAAAACATGAAAGATCAGAAAAAGCCTTTACTACTACTACCAGTATAAGACATAATTCTGGATATGAATGATTAGACACTGCAGGTTTGGGCAAATAAGCAATATTCAAAGTATTAAAAATTGAAAAAATGAGAATATACAAAAATAATACATATGCCAAGTAAGTTGGAAAAGAGGAACATTAAGGACTCTGTAAAGTGGTTGATAAAGAATATAGAAAACATATATCTAAGTATTTAAAATCTACAAAGTAACCTTTGAGAATGATTATGAAACTGAACTAACCTTGTCAAAGCAAACAAGATTCAGCTGTCCACATATATTTATCCTCTGGGGACTGATGCAGAAAATACCAATTTTTTTCAGTCTTCTTTGGGCATACACAATACCAGCAGTCATTGCAGCAGGAAGCGCAGGCGGCACAGTAATTGTAATGATATCAAGAGATTCGATAATTATTACTCCAACCTCTACCTATAATTCACACAAAAATAAGTGTCAGACCCCCAATATTGACTAATCTAGTAAGGGTATTTCTTTAGTGAAAAATCTATAAACCATTCTCAATTTTATTTATAATAAGTATATGTATATATAAATACATCTATTAGCCCTTTATAATCTTTTCCCGTTAGAGATTCTGCAAAATAGAAAACTCAAACAATTGTTAATGGACTGTGGAATGACAGCTATTTTTAACGGAAGTTCTCATTTTAATATCTCTACATACTTTACAAACTACACACTTCAAAGTTCAACAAACATTTGTCAGATATTGACTCTTACTACAAGCACTGTACTGTACCAGTCTCTACAGGGGATAGAAAAGAGAAATTTGATAAGGCCCCTTAGAAGTGCCTGCAATTAAGTAATAGCAAATAATTTTAATGCTGTATATCCCAGAAGTTAAACAAAAAGAGAAAATAAAGCTTTTGAAATGTGGTTGTCCCTCCTTTTTTTAAGTAACAAGAGAGCAAGTGAAAGACCACCTAAACCAAAGCCATTCAAAAGAACCTCCTGCTATGATGGAAATGTTCTGTATCTGTACTTTCAAATATAGTAGCTAATAGTCTCATATGGCTTTTTAAAGTTAAATTAATTTAACTTAACTTAAAATTTTATTTCTTTACTCTCACTAGCCACTTTTCAAATCCTCTACTGAGACACACGATAATTAAAACTCAAACCCTACTAAGAGTCTCATGTACGTACCTCATTTAAAATGCTATTGATAATAGTGTAGATAAAACCAATGGCAGCCACCGCCACAAGACACAGAAGAAACAAGTAGGCATCTCTGTAGAGTTTAAAATCAGTTGGTTTGGGATACAATATGGAACGAACGAGCTGTCCTTTGGAAGTACTAAATCCTTTTTAAAAATTTAAAGAAGAAAATGACATATTTTTATTTAAAAAAATGAGAGTTATCTCTCAAAACAGAATTTCTATTTATTTATTTATATATGTATGTATTTATTATGTATTGGCATAGGGTATACAGCTTAGTGGTTAGACAATCATACAATTTACATAGTGTTCCCCTCGATTATTTCCAGTACCCCAACTGGCACCATACAGTTATCACAATATTCAAAACAGAATCTCTTTTTAAACACTCAGTAGGCATCAAATATGCTAAACCAAGAAAGAAGAGATTAAATATTTCTTACCTGTTCTAACTACTATGGCCTTGACAAGTTCTCCAGTGTAGAAACGAGTTTGAATAACAGTAGTCCCACAAAACAAAGTGTGTCGTTTATGTATTTCTGGACTATATAATTCATCTCCCATTCCTTTTATGTCCACTGAAGGATTTGGCAAATTAGTCTTTGTCACTGGAACACTTTCTCCTTAAAAAAAAAAAAAAAAAAAAATCATAAATTAAAGCACAGAAATCAGTGTCAAACACAACTTTAAGTGTTAAATACCTTAAATGCTATCATACCATTTACAATAGCTATTAAAAAGTAGTGTTCTCAAAATGGGCAATGTAACTTATTCAATTAGCTTTCTGCCTACCAATTTTCTTGCCCCAAAATATCAAAGCTTCTCTCTCACAATAATTCCTGAAAGTGATTTGTGATTCAATAATAATCATTTTTAAATGATTGTGTCAAGTTTCAAATAAGGAGACCAGGTAAGAGTTGCTATAGCCCCAGAACCTGTTCTCTTATCCCTAAGAACTGAATTGGAAAGCACTCCGCAACCTCAAGCACACAGAGATGTGAAGACCTACTCCTAACCCCCAGTAAATATACACATACACACACACACACACACACACACACACACACACTAACAAGCATAAGAAAGAGAAAAGGCATCTAGAGAAGGGAGAGAATAATTACAATAACAAACAGCCAAATTCTTTTTAACACTGAAATTTAATTCTGTGTAGCATCCACACTTCTCGCTTCAAAGCCAACAAGTGTGTAGGGATTTTTATGTGTGTGAGTGTGTTTTAGGACAAGATTCTTAAGTTTGAAAACAATATATAGGAATCACTTTCTTGCCAGGTTGACTATGGCAATAAAAAAAAATCATGTGATAAAAAAGATATAAAAGCTCTGTCTTCAGATTGTGAATTTCCAAAAGGGAATCATTTTGAAGTCTACTTCTCCCCACTTGAAGAAAAATATAGCGTTTATTCCCACTTTTTACACATCAAATAAGAAACTAATATGCTGCATTCTCTGTAGGCTAAGGACTTCTTTCCTCTTCCTTTACTATAAAGCATTTCCTCATGTCCAAAAGAGTAGCTAGGAGCATGTCAAGAAATGCAGTGATGATCAACATAGTGATTTAGTATAGCAGCTGAGTAAAATGCAGAATTTGGCCCCCTCAGAATAAAAATAAAAACAGAAAACACTTTAATACCCATGATATTCAGCATGACCAGTGTGGCTCAGTGGTTGAGCATCCACCCTTGAACCAGGAGGTCACTGTTCAATTCCTGGGCAGGGCACATGCCCAGATTTCAGGCACAATCCCCAATGGGAGGGCATGCAGGAGGCAGCCAATCAATGACTCATCATTGATGTTTCTATCTCTCTCTCCCTCTCCCTTTCTCTCTCAGGAATCGATAACATATTTTTAAAAAATATATATGTCCAGGATACAAATGGCCCTGGCCAGTGTGTCTCAGTGGCTGGAGCATCAGCCTGCTCACCAAAAGGGTCAAGGGTTCAATTCCCAGTCAGGAGCAAGTACCTGGATTGCGGGTTCGATCCCCAGCCCACTGGGGCATGTGCAGGAGGCAACCAATCGATATGTCTCTCTCACATCGATCAATTTCTCTCTCTCCCACCCATCCCCTCCCTTCCACTCTAACAAATCAATGGAAAAATATCCTCGGGTGAGGATTAACGGAAAAAAAAGGGGGGTCGGGGAGGATATAAAAGGCACAGCCAATTTTGAAATAGATTAATCAGTAATCACTTAATCCACCATCATTATCAACAACTCATCTAATTTTTACTCATTTTGTTTAGTTTACCTGTTAACATGCTTTCATTTACAATGCAAGTACCATTAATAAGTACTGCATCACAAGGCATGACTGTCCCATTTAATGGAATGACCATAACATCTCCCGGCACAAGGTCTGTAGAAAAGATCTCTTCTCTTTCTGGATTTAAAGAAAGAAAAAGTGGGGAAAAGTATGAAAAGAATATTCTTTAACTTAGAATAAACATAAGCAAACAAAAGGTCACCTGATCTCAATAAGATGTTAAAAATATAATGGAGTTAAACAGAAAAATTCCAATACACAAAATGTTTCAACAAATAAGATGCTTATTACTTAGGCTAACTAAGTATGGTGTTTAAGGATGTCGGCTAGTTTATTCTGACAGGAAGTCAACCGTGCACAGGTGATGCCAAGTCCTCTCTGATCAAACAGGTAGGCTCTGACACTCATTACAACACTCAATGATCAATTTTAGCTAATAACTCTCTTAGAAAATAATAAGTCCTCATTAGAGAACCCTGCAATGGGTAAATAAACTCCAATTTCTATGATCCCTTGAAAACAGAAGCACTGAAAATTTTAGCATACTTTCTCTTTTAACAGCATTTTTTACAGCATTCTTCTTCTCAGTGCCAATATTTATAACCTATAAAATCTCACTGCCTTCTCAATATTCCTAAAAGAGTCCTAATATTTTAGATGTTATTTTAAATAAATTTATAAAATAAACATTGTGATATTTTATCTATTTCATCGTTTCCTTAGAAATTTGTATACTTAATGCAAATTAGCTAACACTTTTTAAAAAGATCTTCTCAAGTAAAAGGTTTTTCTTTAGAATTGCCTTATATTTGGGCATTCTCTCTCCCTAATTCTTTTTCCCACCTAGGTTTAATACTATGCTCAGAAGACAGTTACATTAGTTTGTAAACAAAAATGGGTAAGGAGAAAACTATTGTTTGTGAGCGTACACAAGAGCGTATAGGACACTCTTTCCTTTGTAAAAACAAACAAAAAAACAAAGAACTAGTTTACTTAGCTTTGAGGGAAAAAGTTTTAAAAGATTCTAATGATATTTAGCACACAGTAGGTATAATAATCTTTTTAAAATAAGACACCTACATTTAAAACTCTTTTAAAGCTGTTAACACCACTTAAAATTCAATTCCTCTTAGGTCTACCAGGAAGCAAAATATCAATGATCTGTTAGACTATACAAAGGGAACAGGATGATACAAGCTGAATGGCACATATGTCCTAGCATCTCCAGTACCTTCAGCAGTGGTGCGAGAAGAGGAGGAGCACCAATAAGCCGGAACATCTAAGACTGCAGCTAGGGGAGGCAGACAGATAATCCCAGCTAACGTAGCAAGTGACCAGGAAGCACAGGGAAAGAAGTAACCTGCTAGTCCAAACTATTTACACTTGTGTTGTACTGCGCCCAGGAAATGGAGACTGATTTGGTGTTCTTGATAAATCTAAGCGGCTTCGGCCCTCAAGACCCATTATGTTGTGCTACCTCCCCCGTATCCCCTTTACCTGTTCAGTATCTCACTAAACTAACTTGTCCAAAACATTATACTTCCCTACAATTCTGCTTCTCCTTCTAATTTAATTAAATGGCACCAAAACCCAACTCCCAGACTGACACTGTTCTATCACCTTGCATCCAATGAATCTTAAAATCCTGTTCAATGCCCACATTTAAATAGCTTTCAAACCCGCATCATTTTTCTCCATTTCCACAACCTTCACCTTGATCCATTCCATGCCTTCAATAGCACTTCCCTCTAAACCAGTGTGAACACGGCAGTCAGAATAATTTTTTTCAAAAAGGCAAATAATGATCAGATCACTCCCCTGCTTAAAATCCTTCAATAACTTTCCACTGCATTTCAGAATAAGTAAAAATTCCTTAGCATGTCTTAGAAGGCTGTTCATCTACTTTCCACATCTGCCACCCTGAATTTCTTTCAGTTATTACGCAGGCGAAACTCCAGGCCTTTGGGCACTCAGAACCCTCTTCCTCTCCCTCGCTTACCCCACAATACCATCTTCTCACCTACCTCTTATGTGACTAATTCAACCATTTAAAAAATACTTTTTCAAAGAAGCCATCCCCGACACCTACAGTAAATGAGCTCTCTCTAATATCTAATAAGCTCCCTGTATTTGTCACACTTTATTTTCACTGCTTATCATCTGTCTTTCCAACTAGTCTGAAGTTCAGTGATGGCGAAGACTATGTTCATCTTTGTAATAATCACTGCATCCCCAGAGCCTAGCATAGTACCTGGTACATTGTAGAAAAAGAAAAATACAATTTTATATAAATGAATTAATTTGATATAAACTCAGAGATGAGTAGAAAGTCAAATACATAATTTTATTTCTTAAGAAGTGAATATATATATATATATATATATATATATATATATGAATGACATGGGCTTGCTTCATATATTAGTGCTTAATGGAAATCTTTTTTGGTTTATTTTTGTCAGGAGTCACTTGAAGTACTTACCTTCATTTACTCTGCAAACTGAAACTCTCACAGTACTGTGAGCTGCCACCATGTCATGCAACATAATATATTGCTGAAATAAGAAAAAAAAAATCAAAACTAGCTAATATAAACTCACTCTTCAAGATATTAAACAGCAAGGGTGCCATAAAATAAAGTTAATATAGTAAATACTTATAACTCTGCCTTTAAAAATGTCAAGATGAAAAGATTAAAAAATTATTCAATGTTTTAGCTAAAGACAAAATAAGAAGCATCCCTAAAAACAGTAGAACCACTAATCCAGTCTGTGATAATCAACTATAGATCCCTATGGCCTCTAAGCAGTCAAGTGATAATCTGACTCTAAAAAACATCTGCCTTCCCCACTTAAAAAAAAAAAAGGACATATTCATATAACTAAACGAAAATCTGTATGAAGTATTACTTTGTACCAACTACTATTCTATGCACCTTACAAAGTACAAATACAGTTGTGAAATTCATAATAAATCAGACTTACCTTTTTAATGGAATATAGGGAGCTTAGAATTGATACTACAGACATAATCACAATGGCTAGAGCATAGTAATAGTATTCATCAGTGCACCACAGTATAACACTGAACAGCTGGAAAATGTAAAATGGGTTGAGAACCTAAAAAAAAAGATTTTTAAGTCAAATTGAATGAGAGATATTTATAACTATACAGATTTTCCACCTTTTCTTTTAAGAAGTAAATCAGAAGATATGTACAGGATAAGCTCTATGGTACCCTAGGGCACTATGTACCACCCAAAGAGGAGGGCAAGACATTAGCGCAGTACTTTTATTTTTTTATCATTAATTAACTAGAATTTGGCTAAATAAGCTTGATTTAAATTATTTACATACACTTGGTTCACACCAAACCTAAAAATAGCTAAAATGTGTGAATTTAGTTGTTTCTCCTTTCTGCTTTAGCAATAAAGTACATTTACTTACAATAAATACTGGGTTACTAAAGGACACAGAACTTTTAATCAAGTGGAACAAATGTCTACTTTTTATGAACTCTAAAATATAATTTACTTATAAGTCAAAGATTTCCTGCAGCCCAAAGGGAAAACAAATATGAGATAATAAGTTACACTGTTTTGCTTTCTCTAAGGAAATTTTGCTTTCTCTAAGGTTTTAATTAAGGATTAAAACCTGAATGATAAAAGATAAAGGAGCCCTGCAATGGGCTTCATTTACCCAAATTTCATAGTATTTTATCAATTTCATTAATAGCACCTCAATGTCTTAAAATTGATGCTTCCGTACTTTTTAAGGCACTTCATATGTATAGTCCCATTTTACCTCCAAATTAAAAGATAATCAGAAAGGACTTACTCCACGCTCATAAATAAAGGAGCAACAAAGAGAGATTTTTTGATGATCAAAGCTAGTTACTGATGGAACCATACTACAAACCAGGCTTTCTAATTCCTAATCATCATACTTTGCTATGTTCTAAAACAACATTATCTGACCACGCTCAGGAACTGATGAAAAACAATCTGCTATTTCTACTAAAAGTATTCACCCAATGCAGGTAACTTGATCTTTAGCAAAAAATTAAAAGACTGGAGAGCCTAACTCTACTAGACAATATCACTTATTCCCTTCCTTTACATATACCTCTTCTATAGCGCTTACAACTGAACACTCACTACGATAACTACTGACATGTTTTCCTCCCAAACTAAAGTGCAAATTCCTTGATATGATCATCAGGTTATGTTTTGTATTCCAAACTTCTGGTACAATGTCTAGTTTCCAATAATGTACCACAAAATGCCACGTGAATAAATAAAACATGACAAAGTGTTTAAAAATCAGAAAACGAAAGGCAGAAATACACCTGTTAAGACAGGGCAAGATTTAGATGTGTAACTTCCTGAAAGTAAAAAATAATAATTTTTAAAAATCAATCTAAAAAAAATTAGACAAATAAAAAAGAAAGTCATAGACCAAATTATTTCTCTAACAGAGTTACTACTTTTATTTTCCAAGTGGGAAAAAAACACACAAAAAAACAAAAAGAACACAACAATAAAAAAAGTTAGAAAACAGAAAATTAAGAATGTCTTATTACTTAAATAATGGCTCTTTTCAAAATGACAAATCTATTGATCACAAATATAGAGACATGTACAATAGTCTTACCTCCTTAATTAGAAGCTTAAGAACAGAAGGCACTTTCACAGAAATTTCATTTATTCCATAAAGCAATTTTCTATGACAAGAAAATATAATAATAGTATTACATTAGATTACATAATAATAGTCTGATTTGGGGAAGGCACTTCATCACATAAGGCTCAAACCACAGACTGCTACTAAATCTAGAACTTAAACATTCATGTTTCTAGATACTAGTCTTCTACAATTCAAATTCTCTATCTATAGTATTTAAATCGAAGTAGTCAATACTGGATAACTATACTGTTATCATTTTGTTTCATGCTATCTCAGATCTTTTTGTGTGACAAGTATCTTTCCCACAGTCTATAATAATTGTGTCAGCAAAGGCTTTCTTTTCCATTCTTGAACACAACAGGTCTCAACAATTTTGAATTGTAATTAATTTTTCAAAAGACTAAAAAATAAATAAATTTGAGGGGCCTGGTACTATTTTTCTAAGAATATTGTACTAAAAATGTTTATTTCAAAACATTGTACACTTGACATTTAAAAAAAATACTTAAGAAAAGTTGCTTAAATCCTGCTTAAATTCCTTATAATAGAGTAATTTTTGCCTTTTAAGAAGTATAAGTCTAAAAGAATAAACTCTTATATACTAACACTTTGAAAAAACATGCTACAAGAGTATAAGAAAATTTCTAATTTAATTTGAAAATGGCATTTATTTTTAAAATATGCAATTCAGCAATATATTTTCATACTTTGGCAGAGAATAACGTGATAAAGATTATGCCTCCCAATTTACAAATTTTCACTATAATAAATTCTCATACTTATAATTCCCAATATATAGCAGTAAAATCTAAGGTGCTATCAATTATAAGAAATGTCCATTATTTTATGTACCATCAAGAAAGATAAAGAATGACGCTCCATCCACTGTATGACACATCCCCCGTTTAGAAACGTTAAAATGTGGGGAAATGTGCACCTTAGAATTGATGAAATATGGTATATTTTCAGGGATATCAACTTCAAAATATCAGCTTCAACATTATTATAGTTCTTAAACTGAGAGACAGCCTTACTCAAATAAAACATCAATAAGTTGTCAACTAGGATGTCTATAATATTTAAATATCTGTTAATAGGTACAACTATATGGTGAAAGGGTGGATATACTACTGTATTTAGGAATTTTGATAATAGATCTGACTTTAGTTGGATAAAAATTACCTGTAGGCATGCATCCCCTTTGTCAGTCCTGCACTATGCTTTTCATAAATTGACGTACAAGAAACACCTTCATCCAGTCCCCTAAATAAATCCAAAGTTTTTACTTTAAACAAAGTTTAAAATATCCAAATGTCTTAATGCCTCATTTTTCTATATTCTGATTTTAAAGTGTGACTTCCTTACAAATAGAAATCCTTAACAAAAAAATGAGATAACGAATGAGAATTTTAAAATCTCAAATTCCTAAGATAAGCAATAATGAAAGGTCAAGTTTCAAAAGTGGCAACTTCTAAGTTATACAATGTATCACATAATAAGATGGCTCTAAATCAGGGGTGGGGAACATCCAGCCCTCCGGCTGTATACCGCCCGAGAAATCACTTAGTCTGTCCCTGCCAAGGCCTTAGTTCCAGCCATCCCATTAGGGGAAGGTTAATTAAATGTCTGACCAAATACAGCAGGCTAATTTTTAAGTTAATAATTTTGTATGGGCCCCAAATGATGTTATAAATATCCAAATAGCACTTGGCAGAAAAAAGGTTCCCCACTCCTGCTCTAAATACTCAAGTTTATATAACGTTATTATCCTTTAGGTTGTGCACACCAAAGCTATAAGAGCTAATACTTAAACTAATAAAATTAAAGATAAAGTATGACTAGTCTGAGAACTCTAAACTAAAAATTAAGAAATTTTACTTTTTATTTAGTTTCCCCCTCTTCAATATTTTAAGTTTCACACTAAGAAATCCTATTCACTTATTTTCTTTCTACAAAAACATCAACCAACATCCTTCCCTAATCTAATACATAGAGTACAGAATTTATATAAGTCACAGGCAATGTCTAAAATCTGTAACAATTCTAAGTGGGATTCAATTAACCTATCTACTTTCCAAAAAAAAAAAAGTCTTAACTATGCTGAGATACTAGTTTTAACTTAGATACTAGTTATAGAACTCTAAAGAGACTCTTATACATCATTTAACTACAATCCTTTTCCACTTTTTTTCAGATAGGAAAATTAAGCTCCATAAGTAACTGTTATCATTGTGGTAAGTTTAAATTCTATAAGTATCTATGGTTGGCAAAGGCTGCACAGCAATATATTTGACATTTTTTCCCCCAGTAAAGTTGATGACTTCTCCAAAGGCAGCAGGGATCAGCTCCAAATCAATTTTTAAAAACCAAAATGGCAGCTCATTGATGGTATTCTATAAGGCAATGGGTTCTTAACTAGGAATGGTCTTCATAACTAGGCATGTGGAAATGTGCTGGTCCATTCCAGAATATTCCAGTTCTTTAGTGTCAGGGGGAAAAAATCCAGGTATGAATATTTTAAATGTTCATAAGGTGATTCTCTTGGTATTGCTAATATTAAGAATTCCTTTAGCAGTCTCAAGCAATAATACCTGAGTGTTTATAATACTTTTACAAAAGCAATAAAAATAGAATCCTAATTAATTTAGTACTTACATAACTTGAAGCCTCCACAAAAATAAATTTTAAGATACTCTAACTTGTCCTACCCAAGGTTTAACACATTTGACAATGTCCCATACTTTATCTACAAAGTAAAGTTAAATTTTTCTTTGTCTATCTCTTCATCCCTCAAGTACAAGTGGATAGAACTGTGAGCAAATTGGGAGGTGACAGTTCAGATAGAAAACTCAAAGTTCACTTGAGATGAAACCTCAAAAAGAAAAGAACTCAGACTCAGTGGATTTTAGGATCATACTACTTCTAACTTTTATGTAAATTTTGCCAAGATACAAGTTGCAAGTGAGGTTTATTATAAAATGGTTAATCAGTGTTCAAATAGCACTGGAAGTTGCTAATGAATAAGTGAATAAAAGTTCTTCAATAAAAACCTGTTCAATTCCATGTAACACTAGAATGAATTCTTTTCTATCTAGAACATTTTCAATACACTCATAATATAATCCAAACAAAATTACTTACTTTAAGAAATCAAAATTGTGAAGGGTATCATTCCAGAAATATTTTACACTATGGTGGGTGAAATAACGAATCTGTAGAACACACATAAATGTTACATCAAAAAGCATTATCATCACTTGTTATCAATTAAGTTTACTAACACAAATCTATCATATAACAACATATTAAAATTAAAGTGATCCACATGTGACATGTAATCTTTTTCTTCTAGTAATACCTAAACTGTTATAATATAGTGATAAATGGGTATTTTGTATGCATACAAAATTATCTCAAAAATAACTGTAAGCACAAAATTACTGACTATCCATGACAGCATAAAATATAACAATTCTGATTTTCAAAGAAACTTTGAAACTAAGATCACAATACCTGTTCTGATTGCGTCTGTGAATATTTACTTACCTCATGCCTGTTCTCTTCGGCCAGACTTTCGGTTAAAAGAACAGCATGGCCATTTGAAACCTTATTAGCCACAGATTTTGGACTTGAAAATGGATGAGTTTTCAGAGAAAGCAGGCGAATTTTTGCACAAAACCACATTCTGAATTCATCCTTACAAGAGAGAAAGATAAAGAGTCAATTATGTGTATTATACAATTGCCATATTTTTATTTGATTTCCATTTTTACAGATTATTTACTCATCTTTAATTGAGGAAGCATCATTTCCTAGTCACTAAATGTAAAAACATTTCATAAAGATGCATAAATTCAAACACGAAGTGCTTTCCATGGCTCACCATTTAAGTGACATACTTCACTAACACAATATCTCATAAAAGTTCATGAGTAATTTCTTAATTTACTCATCAACATACTGTGACTAGATATTAAAGCATCTTATAACATGCTTCCAAGTAGGATAATTAAAAACAAACAAACACAAAACCCTGGGATGCAGCAACATAACATAGTAGAGGCAGCAGATCTAGTGAATGGGAGATCTAAGATATAGTCCTAACTGTCCAGTGACCTCAACAGACAAGCATCAAATCTCTCAGTGCATCAGGAGCTTAAAAAGAAGGGGTGGATCTGATCATCTTTGAGATTCCTTAATACTCTAATTGCTCTGATAATCACTTCAAACACACATGCTTTAGAAATACTAGGATTAGTATTTGTCATTACATCTTAGTGATGTTCTCTTCATATATTATTTTGAAAGAAGTACACACAAAGACATTCTTTTATTCCTCAAATAATCTGCTACATGTAAACCCATGGACTTACAGTAGTCCTTAGCAGCACCACTTCACAGTCTTTAATTGCAGCTCTAATACAGGTCGCCTTCACCCGCCACTCAGGCATCCAATAGAGGAGGAGCAGGAGAAAGCCACCAGTGCAAACTGCTCCTACAGAAACTATGGCAAGCTTCCAGCGACACAAATTATAGCCATAAATTTCCTGCATGGACACAGTAATCATAATTAATTGTCAAATGATATGAAAGATAAATTCCAAAGTTCTCTGTTTTCCCGATGGTTGTTACTGTCTTTGTCAGATAAAGTGCAAATATTTTCCCAGCCCATAATTTCTCTTTAAATTTTGTTTCTGACAAGCCCATCATCAAAGGTATACTTTTAAATGACTAAATCTGTTGATATTTACAAATTATGGTTCTATATTTGATGTTATCCTTAGTAACATAACACTCTCCCACTGAAAGTATATTCACATTCGGTATACTTTCTTAGAACTCTCATAATGACATTTTTACATTTACCTTTTTAATTCTTCCAAAACTTACCTTGCTATAAGGTAGGTGTTTTTTTAAAAATGAACTTTTAAATTTGGAATAATTTCCGATTTGCTGAAAAGTTACAAAAATATTAAGAGTTCCTGTATACCCTTCGTCCAGTTTCCCGTAATGTTAACATCCTGGTATATTTGTCAAAATCAGAAAGATTAACACTACATTATTATTAAGTAAGCCTCGTCATTATTAGGATTTCACCAGTTTTTCCCGTTTTATTTTTGTTTCAGAATATAGTCCAGAATATCATGTTGCATTTAGATAAGATAGGTTTTACCTTTATTTTTTTTCCAAATCATTAACCAATTGTCCCAACACAACTGTGACTGATCTATCTGACCTCCTGACCCAAATTATTTCAATTGTTTCAGTTACCCGCCCCTCACCCTACCAAGGGCTGCCAAATGAAAATTCAGAGGGCCTAGCTAAATTTAAATTTCAGATAAAAAGACTAATAATTTTTTTGTTGCCCTCTGCAATATTTGGGACATGCTTATACTAAAAATGTATTCTTGATTATTTGAAATACCCATTTAACATTTAACAGGGAGCCAGGCCAGCACGGCTATTGGTTGAGCATTGGCCCATGATCCAAGAGATCACAGGTTCGATTTCTGGTCAGGGCACATGCCTGGCTTGCAGGCTCAATCCCTAGTAGTGGGAATGCAGGAGGCAGCAGATCAATGACTCTCATCATTGATGTTTCTATCTCTCTCTCCCTTTCCCTTCCTCTTTCTGAAATCAATAAAAACATATTTAAAAACAAATTTTTTAAAACAATAAAAACATATTTAAAAACATTTAATAGGAGTCTTATACAGGGTGGGACAAAAGTAGGTTTACAGTTATGAGTATGTGAAACAGAATTTATGCTTGTATTATTTATTAATTATTGTATTATTTTCCATATGAACTGTGAACCTACTTTTGCCCAATCCTGTATTTTATCTGACAACCCTATCTCCCCCCCCCACCACACACATGCACAAAAAGAGTTGAGAAGTTTTGTATTAAGCTCATTTTAAGTTTTTTTATAAAGCAAAATTAGAAATCTTATATTTGGAATTGTATTTAAGCACTAGCTAGCATCTCAAATTACCAAATGAAAAAACATGCCTCTTTCCTCTAAGTTTTAAGAGTTTGCAAGTAAAACAGGAATTATTCTAAAACAAATAGATATGTTACATAATCCCAATTCAAAAACACAGGATGAGGAAAGCACATTGACTCAACTGTTTGTTTTTTTAATTTACTTTCCTACTTCCATGGAATAATAATTTGCAGAGATAAATTCTTCACACTTCATGAGTAAATTATAAATACTGGTTACCATTTCATCTTCCTGACCCTGATTGATAGTCTTCCTTTCTTCTTTGTCCATATCTACAGTGATTTGAAAGGTCTTGTACTTCAGAACGATTGAAGACAACTGAGAGATGAGAGGAACAAATGTTAGGGAATTATTACTTATCTCAGTCAACTATAAAACTTCATATTATTGTATTTCTTGTTGTGATACATCTATCAAAGTTTAACTGGTATTTAAGTAATCACTAAAAGTGTTAGCTGGCCCTAATAACATTTTCAATGGTGTGCCAGTTCTTGCATCTACATTATTTACTATCACAAAACTTGGCACATTCCATTAATGAATCGCTACAAAACAATTTAAATCCTGGGAGAAACTACTACAGAATCTTCCTTTGCCATTCCCCAAACTCAAAGAACTAACCAAGTTGTGCCATAAAAGTGCTTCACACAACTCAATTTATTGCTTGAAGTACAGTGAAGAGGTAAAGCACCAGCAGTGAAACCACCCCAAAACCTCTCAGGGATTAAAGTATCATCCAACAAATATTTACTGAGCAAGCATCTATTATGTGAATGACATTCCCTGGCCATGAGTCAATCCCTATGGCAGGTGTACCACTACTGGAGGTCACTCAACTGACTCCCCCATTCTGATTCCAAGCCACTAAGCAATCATGATTGTTTGTGACTACCCATGATGCTTATCTAGGAGAAAATTCATTGAGCTCATAGACAAAGCTTTTTTTCTTGTATTTAAAAAAATGAGAGGCCGGCCGGGCGTGGCTCAGTGGTTGAACGTCAACCTAGAATCCAGGCGATCAGGGTTCGATTCCCGGTCAGGGCACATGCCCGGGTTGCGGGCTGCAGCCAATCAATGACTCTCTCATCATTGATGTTTCTATCTCTCTCTCTCTCTGAAATCAATAAAGATATATTTTTAAAAATTAAATAAATAAATAAATTAATTAAATAAATAAATAAATAAATGAGATTAATTTCAGACAGACATCCGCCACACATTAAAGAGATTTGCAAACTGTAAAACAATATCTATTTTCTCATGAATTTTTTTGGTTTTGGCAAACAGATATTTTTCAGGAAAATGTTACTTAATATGTAATAAATTTATTACTGTTATGTCTTTTTAAACTAATATTCTCAAAGATATTATCAGTTTTAACTGTCACTGAATCAACATATATAACGCACATAAAAACAAAAGCTTCTTAAAGTTCACAATAAACTTTCAAGGTTACCAGTCTGATCCCAGAGTCTGAGAGCCACTGCTTTAGACTAGGCTGATCTCTACAGAACAGTTGTGGATAATATAACCTCCCTCATTCCAGACACCATACTTCTAACTCACCTAGCTAGTGTGTAGCACAGGCCTGACATATGGTAGGCACTCAAAAAATGCCTGTTGAGTGAATAATACTTGTTGTGCTAAAACAGCAATAGCTGTTTAATGTTTATATAACATGAATTAATAGCCAATTAAAACCTACTGTAGGATTTTAAACTAATTGCATATAAAAGACTATTGAAATCTCAACAAAATGACCAATAAAAATATTGATGCCTCCTATACCAGCACCCAGCACCTGTCTAACCTTCTGGTAGTCCTAGAGATGGGGTCAGAGCTTTCTACAGAATAAACTGCAGGAGTTTTAAGATGATAGATATATGATTGATAGATAGATAGATGATAGATACATACATACATACATACACAGAGACATAAGTAGGTAGGTAGACAGACAGACAGACAGATAGATGACTTAGTGCCACCTTGGAAAAGAAATTTTAGAGGTATCTGGCCCAACTTCTCAAAAACAAGCCACATTATCATACAAAACCCTTTGAAAAATTTTGTAATAACTTCTTTTTTGTCTAGGGTGGTGTTACAGCCCTGAAGCATGCTACTACCATGTTAAACCTTGCTGACTGGCTACTTAGTTAGAACCAGAACTCGCCTATGCAGCTGGCTACTTTTCCTTTGTGACTAGTCAGCAAGGTGTTTAAAATTACTTAAATTAATGTTAGTGCAGACACGAGTCATCTTGTGACTGGTCAGCAATGTTCGGATATGGAAACACGTGTACACTCATGTTTTAAGAACGGTCCATCAAATCAATATGACTTGAGGCAGTTATTCTCAAGGGCATAACCTGCTGCTATGGACTATGGGGAGAATGAACAAGCCCAACCTCTTTCCTGTAGAAAAGATCAGCGGCTGTTACCTGAGCGTATTAAGGGATAGCCCAATCCTGCAAGATTTAAATGTGCACATGCCCACTTTTAAAGGGTAACATAAAGGCACTCTGCCCTGATGCTGTTCCCACAAAAAAATAACAGTCTCCTGTTCTTAACCATTAGTCTATGGTTCTTTCATAAGTTCTGGACTGAATCTTAGGATCATCATTCAGGATTCATCAAACTCATTTTTGATAATTAATTTCATATCATTCTAATCCCCATTTCCCATCACCACCACCAAAAATATGTTTCTTGAGGGGAGAAATTATTTCAAGTTCTTATATGTTGAGACTTCTGCTTCCAACCAAGATGGAAAAACAGGTACCAGATTTGCCCTCCAGCCTAAAACCACCACAACAAAATGGACAAAATATATCAAACAAGTTTTCAAGAAACTGGACATTAGGCAATGAAGGAAACTGATACAGGGATGGGAAGCAAACTAGATGAGCTTTACAATTATCCCAGTTTACAAACTGAAGAGTCTATAGGCTGTAAAAGTGGGAAGGTAGGGAGCCCAGGGGAAACAGAACAGTCTCTCATAGTTGAGGAGATGAAGATAGGAGTTTGGGGAGGCACCAAAGTGACGAGGTTTGCAGAGCAGATTTCCAGCGGAGAGATCTGTACAGAGAAAGAACACTGAAAACCTGCAAGAAGACCTGATCCAGCTCAAGTCTTCTGCGTAGTGATCAGTGCTTACGTGTGAGGAAAGTACCAGAAACTAGGGAAAGAACCACCCAAAAGGATTAAGGGGGGGAAAACCATTCGGGCTCACAAAAAGCTGGGGAGAGTGCCTGTTCCCACCAACCACAGTGAAAAACTTCGTTAGTCACAAGGAATCATGGACAGTATTCAGAAGGGTTCTGCTTCAGTAGTGGGATCCAACTAGCCCTAAACTAAAAGCTACTCTGGTGGTCCTGAAGAACAAAATGTTTAAGGCTTGAAAGAATAAAATTGTTTCTAAGTAACTTAACTGTTTTACAGAATAAAATTCAAGGAGATTTTTAGAAATACAAAATATCTAGTCCAAATAAGTCACCATGTCTGACACCCAAATTAAACTTAAAAAGTTTAAGTATAAAAGAAGAAAGAAAATACAACCCATAATGAGAAAAACCAATCAATAGAAAAGGACCCAGAACTGACACAGAGAATAGAATTGGTTGACAAGGACATTAAAACAACTACTGTAATGGTAGTCTATATGTTTAAAAACCAAGAGAAAAGACTGAACATGCTAAGCAGAAACATATGAAGAAAAAATCAAATTGAACATGATATTAAAAATACAGATAAAAATATACTAGATGAAATAGCAGATTTGACACTGCAGAGAAAAATCAATGAACTTGAAGACATGGTAATAGAATATCCAAAATAAAAAATGGAGAAGAAAAATACTAGGAAAAACACACACCACCACCACTATCATCAGTAAGCTATGAGAAAACTTCAAGTGAACTAATATACATGCAACATGGGGGGATGAAAAAAATATGTAAGGATATATTGGCCAAAAATTTTCCAAATTAGATGAAAAAATTATAAGCCCACAGATCCAAGAAGTCCAACTAACACTAAGCAAAAAAAATTAAGAAGTTATACCAAGACATGTTGTCAAACTGCTTATAAAAGTGAAAAAATCTTGAAAGGAGCCAGCAAAAAAAGACATGTTACATACAAGGATAAGAATGACATGAGATTTCTTGCTAAAAATAATCAGGTGAGAAGACAGCAGAGCAACATCTTTGAAATACTGAGAAAAAAAACTCTTCAAGAATTCTATACCCAACAAAAATATCTTCCAAAATCAAAGGTGAAATAAAGCTGAAAAAAATTCAGCTACAAACCTACACTATAAAAAATGTTTTTTAAAAAGTCCTTAAGCAGAAAAAACAAAAACAACAACAAAAAAAAACTGATGGAAATATGAGTCTCCACAAAGCAATGAAGAACACCAGAAATGGTAACTATGTGGGTAAATATAAATAACAGCAGCACAAAGAACAAGAAGAAATGGAAGTATACTTTAGTAAGGTTCTTATACTATACATGAAGTAGTGTAATATCACTTAAAGGTAAACTGTAATAAGTTAGAGAAGTACACAGTAAACTCTACAGTAACCACTAAAATAAAATAGTGATAGCCTGGCTGGGCGTGGCTCAGTTGAGCGTCCATCTAGGATCCAGGCGATTGGGGTTCTATTCCCAGTCAGGGCACATGCCCGGGTTGCAGGCTCGATCCCCAGTAAGGGGCGTGCAGGAGGCAGCCAATCAATGACTCTCTCATCATTGATGTTTCTATCTCTTTCTCTCTCTCTTTTCCTCTCTCTGAAATCAATAAAGATATATATTTTTTTTAAAAACACAAACATAAAACAGTGATAGCTAAAAAATCAACAAAGGATTTAAACTGAACCATAAAAAATACTCATGTGATTTAACAGGGGGAAAAAAGAAACAAAGGAAAGGTAAGAAAAATTAAAAACAAATAGCAAGATGACTGATTGAAGCCTAACCATATGAATAATCACATTAAATATAAATGGTCTAAACATCACTTAAAAGGCAAAGATTGTCGTGTCATTTTTGAAAAGACTATAGGCAACTATATGCATTTTCAATATAAAGGCACAATAAGTAGGTTAAAGTAAAAGGAAGATGTACCATGCAAAAGCTATTAAAAAATAAAGCTGGAGTGAATGTATTAATATATCAGATATAGCAGATTTGAAAACCAAGAACATTACACCAAGGATAAAGCCATTTCATAATGACAAGGGAGTCAATTCATAATGATAACATAATAATCCTAAACACCTATACATTTAACACACCTTCAAACTACACAAAGCAGAAACTGATAAAACTGGAAGGAGATAGAGAAATTCACAATTACTGTTGGAGATTTCATTTCAATACCACTCTCTCAATAAGAGATAGAACAAGTAAATTAAAAATACTAGTTAGGACACAGAAGTTCTAAACAACAGTACTAATCAAGGGGTCCCAATTGGTATTTGCAGAACACTCTACTCAACCAGAGCAAAATATACATTTTTTAAACTTGTACACAGAACATTTACCAAGAAAGACCACATTCTGGGACATGAAAATATTCAAGTCATACAAAATATGTTCTGAATACAATGGAATTAAATTAGAAACCAAAACAGAAACGTAAGTAGAAAAGCCTTAATATTTGGAAATAAAATAATACACTTGTAAAAATCCATAAGTCAAAGAAATCAATGGGGAAAATACAAAGTATTCCGAGCTGAATAAAAATGAAGATGTAACATATTAAAATTTGTGGGATGCCACTAAAATAATATTTAAAACACTTATAGCACTACCTTCCAGTATTTGAAAAGAAAGATCTGAAATCATGACCTCAGCTTCTACCTTTAAAAAGTAGAAAACAGCAAAGTATACCTACAGTAAGCACTAAAGGGAAATAATAAAATTCAGAGTAGAAATCAATGCAATAAGAAACAGATAAATGGGGGGGGGGAATCAATGAAACCAAAAGCTGATTCTTTGAGATCAATAAAATTGATGATTTCTAGTTTCTAGTTAGGCTTGAAGAGAAGGGGGGTGAGGGGGAGACATACAAATTACCAATAAAGGAATAAGACAGGAGACATCACTACAGATTCTGCACATATCAGAAGGATAATTAAGGAGGGTGATAAACAACTTTATACCAATACATCAAATTTTCTGCAGGTTTGAAATTACTTGCAAAGAAAAAATTTTTTTAATTTAAAAACTTATCTTTATTGTCAGGGAATGTCCATGAATTAATGCTGCTAAAAGCCAAGTTAAAAGCTGAGTAACAGGTACATGAGGGTTCATTATACTAATCTACTTCTCAGTATGTAGAAATTATCCATAATATAGTTTTTTAATCAATAAAATAAAAGCACCCATCTGAAGCTTTTAAATAGAAAAATTTCATTCCTAGCACCGAAGTCCATAAATCTTGAGAACTCTGCCTCTATTAAGTCTAAAATAACTGACTCAACCTATTACGTACCAGCCATTATCCATAAACTCATACTGCTGGGTTTTGAATCTAACTCATCTTTGCTCATTTTTTTATCCATTGCCTAGAAATATAGATGTGCTTCCCAACTTCTGTAAATCCCAATTTTTCACTGTAGAATGTATTAGAAGATAATAAATTTCTAAATTTTATAATTTTAGAAAAATAATTACCATTAAAATTCAATGTTTTCATTTAGTCCATACACTTAAAACTATTTAAAAAACCCTTTCCTCAAATATATGACAAGACTTCACCTTAATCTAACATAGCTATATTTTCATCTTCTACAGTTAAAAACTGATCAAAACAAAAAAATACTTCAATTATTTTTAAATGAGTGATTATACATGGTGCACTGCCTAAAACAATCTACTTTTAAAAACACAATTCTTGACCAAATTATCTCCTTACTCTTTTACAAGTGTTATTTCTCTGAAATTTAGCTTCCTTTTAAAGATAAAATTCTTAACTCTTACCCAATTTTACCAAAGTTGAAATAGTAAACATAATTTAAATAAAAAGTTGCTCTAAAAACCATCAATTATTATTCTCTTTAAACATACTATACCTCATAGGAAATTACTAAGAATTCACTTTTTACATAAACTTTTAGTAAAATTTAATGAGACAACAATTTCAAGTTTACATTTAAAACATACACATATTATAAATGTATATTTAAATTTTAAAAACATACCTAAACAGAAATCCCTTAACACTTCTATGACTACATAAAAATAAAAATCTATATAGACACATTTTAAAACATACTGCTTATCAAGATGAAAATACATTTTAAGTATTATCCTACCATATATCTAATTAGACATTTGAAGCATTAATATCAAACTTCTAAAATCCATTTAACTTACAGAAGTATAACTTTAGTGGTTTGCTAAAATGCATTTTTTTAATCAAGTCAATGTCTAGATCATAGAAAAAGAAATTTTTCTTACCAATAGCACTATATCATTCCTTCCAATTGTTGGACTAGCAGAGCTTTCAAAAGCTGGCTCTTAATAAAAATAAAATAAAACTAAGCATAAAATCCATTCACAAATGACAATTTTCTGTCAAACATTTGTTTCTGTTCTCTTTGAACTACTTCCAAAAGACGACATTAAAATTTAAGATTTTTTAATTCACTGATTTTAAATGAGTTTTCAGAAGACATACCCCTCTGCCATCTGACTACCACTGACAGAGCTCCTATTACTTGAATAAATATTAAGCTAACCACACTGAAGTCCCAACTCTACAGTGTATGGCTGAGTCTTGACGTTATCTAAATAGCAAGGAGCTTTTAGGCTATTGTGCTTAACCAAACCCTTCCTTGCATTTACAATGAACTTGATTTTTTGTGTGAGTGAAAACAGTAACAGAAAAAAGTGAAGCTATCAGAAATAAATATCACTAAATGTAATACTAATTTTTAAAGTTTCCTTATTTTTCCCCATTATATAATTACTAGGAAGCATTTAGAGTACATCTTTAAACTAGGATAAGAGTTAGTCATATCTCATTTCCTAAAACAAGATGAGTTGGCTTCAACAGGCATAGAAATCCCCAAACCTCTAAGTCACCTTTGCTTCAAAACCTGAATTTCCTACTAGCTGTACCAATAGTATTACAATAGTATGTGTGTGGAGGGTTTTCTTTAAGGATATTCTATGTATTTGCCAAGAATTCCAAAATAAGTAATTTCACAAGGTGATTTAGAGAATGATCTACAACTCAAGTAAAACTTCAAGCAAAGCAATTTTGAATAAATTTTTCCCCCAAAATCTGCTAAATTTTTATTTTTAAAATTTTTAATTTAATTTACTTCAGTCAATATTTGCCAACTTCGGCAAGATTGAAGTAAAAGAAATTAAAAATGTATTGATTCAAAATTCACAAAACTAAATAAGTTAGTACATAAGAAATTCTCAAACGACATTTTTTAATAGTTCGTAACATATACCTCCAGTTTTATTTTTATTTTTGTTTTTTGTTAATCCTCACCTGAGGACATTTTTCCCACTGCTTTTCAGAAAGAGAAGAAAGGAGGAAAGGAGGGGGAAAGAGAGAGAAACATCTATGGGAAAGAGACACATCGATTGGTTGCCTCCTGCATGCACCAGCACTGGAGCAAACCCACAACCCAGGTATATGTCCTTTACTGGGAATCGAATCCATGCCCCTTCTGTGCTCAGGATAATGCTCTACCCACTGAGACACACCAGCCAGGGCTATACCTCCAGAGTTTTAAAATTTAAAACTGAACCAAGACTTTTGGTCCACCATCTATTGTTGAAAGAGAATGAATCTTCCCACTTTGTTTTGTAGTTCTACATTTTTTCCTGAGAATTAAACCCAGGTTAAATACCCAGATTAAATAAAAATTTGATAAGCCCATCTTTTAAGGACCACTCGGCAAAAGATGTTTTTAAAGATCCTGAAGTAATAAACAGCATGGCTAGCATTCTCAATGTTATTTTATTGTCAAATAAAGCAGTTCTACCTTCACAATTGAAATAAAAAGTACCCTAATACATATAAAACCCTTACTCTGCTCATTAAACCACTTCAATTTTAATATCTACACAAATATTTGTATAAAAGGGGGGGAGCCCAAGCTCCCAATTACAGTAACCGAACTGTGACAACTCTTTATGAGGGCAAAACTTAGTACTTCAAGTCAGCTCCTAACAATAAGAATGACATAATATAATTTAATGAATACATGGAAATTTTACAAGCATACCAGCTAAATTTTAACAAAGCTCCACTCAATACCCATTTTATCACTTCCCATCTTGAACTTTCTCTTATAATACATGCTTTTGTTTCTGTGTTTAGGCTTAAGGAAGACCATTGTACCCAACATACACCAAAGCAAGACTGTATTTACATTTTTAAGGTGTAGTCTTTGTACAATTATACTTTTTTATATGTTACAAAACAATGTGATAGTTATAACAAAATAAGTTATAGTTAGGAAAGATAATGCAATTATCTGTCATAGAATCAATATTAAGAACATTAAGAGTTATAACCTAGTTAATAGTGGTGACAGTGTGTTTGGGTAGAAGTGAGGGAGAAACTCTAGTGCTCTTTGAATGTTTTCACCATCTACATGTAATAATATTTTTATACAGTAAACAACTAATTCTACAATGCATGGCCAACCTTTGGTCTGGACTTGCAGGAATCTCCAAAGCACTTCACAGTGCTCTAACAGACTATTCTCCAGATTCTCTGGATCTCACTCTTAATTAAGTTACTTTAGCCCAGGAAAATTTGCTTAAAATATTTTAATTTTTCAATTATAGCTGATATATAATATTATATTAGTTTCAGGTATACAACATAGTGAGTATACATTTATTTATATAACTTATGAAATGATCATCCTAAGCAATAGTCATTTTGCAGGTTCCTTTAACAAGTACATTTCTAGTAAACTACAGCTAGCTGTTTATATTTCTTTTGATATCCCCTCCACATTTTGGCGCCACTGAGAAGTACTAGCCAGTGACACAGCATAAGTACAATAGCAGCAAATTCAAAATTATTTTATCAAATTAATTCATCTATAAGCATTAAGTGAACATATAGGCCATATTCATTCCCATATTAAGAACACGAGATATACAACCTTACCCCAAAATACATAATACAAAACAAAAACAAATGTAAAAAGCACAGAACTCAAGAGTCAGCTTTAACTTGTCCTTAAATGAAAATTCAACATGAACTATTTTCAAGCGCCTTCAACTGTCTTGGTTTCAACTTCTTCACTAAAATGAGGTAGTTATAATAATTCATATGATGCAGTCCAACCATGAAAAGTTTTTGAGCTAGGCAAGTATTGCCTTTGTATACAGCCTGCTGTTACATTCCTCCACCAGTAGGTGACATTCCAACACTGGTAAGGAAGGAGGCTGACCCTTTCCTCGCCTTCGCAGAGCAGCTGCTGATCAAGAATGATCAAGGGTAAAAAGATATGTAAGATTTTTTTTTTTTTGGTAACATTGAAGGTACTAATATGGAAAAATAGAAGTTTCCTATATAATAGAAATATAAGACATGCAATAAACACAAAACAAATGATAATGGGGAGAGGAAGACATTACTCCCTTTATAGTATCGATTACGCTCAAATTCACAGGTGTCTGAAATTAGAATTTAGGGATCTTACAATATTGTGGAGGAGGGGGGAGAACAATAACAATTAAAACGCACATGAACCTATAAGAAAACAAGATGAGGTAAAGTATGAAATTACATGGTAAAACATTACTTGCTCATAGATGGCAAAAAAAAGGGGGGGGGCAAGAAACACCCTTATATGTTGCTGTTAAAAGTATACTACCTTTTTGGAAAACTGATATTAATTAAAATTTTAAATCCCCATATAGTTTGATCCAACAATCCCAATTAGAAATTCATGTCACTTGTACCTATACATACATGTTACCATTAACCATTTCTTCAAATTCCTCTGCATTGTTAGACTTATGAAATAAATAAAAGTTTGTGTGTGTGTTTTTTTCATTGGGGGCAAGAGTAAATAATCTAGTTGAAACAAACGGGTATTTTCAAACAAGCACAAAAGAAATTGTGTGGCATGGGCATCTAATACAATAGGAACTGACAAATCAAGAGTTCTAATAACAGCTTGTATAAGCAAACCAAATTCATAAGTGAGCCTAATTCCCTAAGTTACACTTTTAAGTTCAGATGTAAGATAAGGTTTTTTGTTAATATATAAATCAATATTTATTGCACTGTAATGCAAGTTAGTGACTATTTCTTCTAAACTATAATGCTATTAATCCAAATCCCTAGTAACTTGACATTTCAATTAGCAATTTAAAAGATGGTATTTGAAATTTAAACATTCATTACTAAGATTCAGACTTTCCACATTTTAACATAGATAAAAGCAGCATGCAGTTTAGAAGAAATTATTGTTGCTACTGGCAGGTGACCGTCCTGATGCAGTCGTCACTGCATGCACATGCTTAAAGTTGGTCTCAACTATTCATAGTATTGTCTATTTCAGCTGAGTCAAGTGCATTCTTGGTAGTACAAATCTGAGTTTAAATTGTTGATTAAACTATTAAAAAAGATTACATTGTAGTTGCATATTGAAACAAAAAGTAATAGTGTAAAGAGATAAGTAACAAAATACAGCAAGAGTAGACAAGGGCGAGGATAAGAAGAGAGGTGGGGGTAGGGGGTGGGGTAAAGGGAAGAGGAGAGAAGAAAAAAAGAGGGGCGAACAGAAGAAAACTTTCAGGAGAATTCTATTTCTAAGTCTTTAGTGTGCTAAGGAGTCACACATAGATCCCAGGGATGTTCCTTTTTCTTATTAACAGCAAACCCCAAAATGATTTTATTCATTACTTAGCATGGTTCACTTCAGGATTATTGGGTGTTTGCAAGAAAGAAAAGCCAGTTTTATTCATGATCTATACTACAGTATTTTCACATTCCATTCTTCCAGATCTTATAAAGACACAAACTAAAGAAGCACAAATCACTAGGGAACTATTCTGCACAAAAAAATGCAATCCTACAAATTTACAATTATAAGTGATAGGCATTTAGATCAACTTTTTAAAATTATGTGAATTAGCCTTTTAGACTTTATTCCTTTTTCCCAATTTGGAACCCAGCCATGCTGACTCAGCATAGGAAGAAAATACAAAGGCCTTTAGCATCTGCATTTAAAAATATTTTTTAAATACAGCATTTTAAATTGCTGTTGAAGAGATAATGGTCTTGCTTTATGGTACAACCATTATAGAAATCTGAGCTTTCTCATTTTCTGTGGTCATTCTGTAATCTACTATTAAGGATTTTTCAACAAATCAATGTGCTTGGGTACTGTGCCAACCATAATAATAGTAACTGGCATTTATACAGGAACTTTTACTTGACAAAACACTTCTATAGGCATTATCTACTTTACTTATCAGTTTCCAATAAATACTGCCCCTTGAAAACAGAAAAAAATAATCTTCA